GGAATATGTCTTGTCTGTTCGCCTGTGCACAAACGTCCTCTCGATTACTTTATATGTCTGCTGCATGTGAAGTAATTGACAATAAAGCTGACTTTAACTTTTATTTTTGTAGTGCAAATAGTAGAGAAGAGTGTAAAACTACAATAGAGAATAATGCAATAAAAATATAATAAAGATATGATAGAAAATATAAAAACTATAATGAAAATATATGCACTGTGCAATAAATACGGTGTGCAAAAGAATATTTTAAACAGTGTGTAACTGTACATGTGCAATTGTTACAAGGAAAGTTTGTGCAGTTTGTGCAAAAAGAGTCCTCATATATCAATATTTGCTTAAAAAAAGCCACCAAATTAAGATTATTTAGCTTAAAAGTATTACATTATTGTGGCACATTAGAAAAGCATTGAATAGAAATATCTTAAGGTGGCATTAGAAGCCAATAAATTGTTTTAAATCTTCAAACATTTTTCCAAAGATAGCACGTCTTTTTCAACTTAAGACTATAATGTGGTCATAACAGATCTTTATTTGTTTTTTATCTGGAAGAAATACATCCCACTAATTTAAGAAATTCAGGTTTGTCAAATTAAAAAGTAAAAATAAATTCAGAAAAAGAAAATTAAAGGTCAACAAATAATAAAAGATAGATGGATTCAAGTTGCATTAAGACATAACATAAAATGTATCATTACATTATATATATTTGTAATAAATTAGTGCATTTTTAAAATGTTTTCATCATCTTTTATTCGTCTTTTAGTGTCTTTCATTTCATACACTTTATTTAAAATGCTCGCCCATTCCCTTCAGGAAGGTGTAGCCTCATTCAGACAATATACAGAATAATATTATATTGTGGTTGGATTCATTTGCGAGGTTAATCGAAAACATATTTCACTGCAAACCCTTTATTAGCTTGGGGACCAGATCTGGTCTCCACACAGTTCAGGTCCAGGTTCAGGTTTGGAATTGGATCCATCCAGAGTTATTTTTCCTAATTATTCGTATGAGTAGGCCTATTATATGAAGACATTACATCTTCTCAGGCACAGCAAACATGAAATAGTAAACTCAGATGTTACTAATGATACTAATTAAGGTTCTGTACTATTTAGTGTAGCAGAGCCTTTCCAGTGAGCCAACAGCAGCACACTGACTCTGTCTGACCTGAATGTAACAGGACCTTAATTAGTATTATTTATAACACATGTATGTTTATCATCTTTTCAGTGTTGCAGTTTCGAGCAGCTACTGAGCCTCTTGCAGGTTTAAATATCCTCTGTTCATCTTTCTGTAGGCTAATATTAGTTCAAGCAAGTTTCAGATTTAGGCTGACTACATTTTTATTCACAATCACTTCTTCATTTGCGACCAATTTAGCTGTATTCAACTCACAGGATTTCAGAAAGGAGAACAGCCCCTCTTCTAATAGAAATATGATGCCATACATTTAATCAATTATTATTTATTAGGCATTAATTTAATCATCATAAATACACAAAGACACGCACATAGATAAACTGAAACCAATAGGACATCACGATTTACACGCATGAATTAATGCATTAAATCATCATGTCATGCCTTAGTTAAGTAGGCCAAATACTGATATGATCTGTATCCATGTTAGCCTATAAAATGTAAAACCTGCGCCACATCACTACTGGCCCCAGCTGCACACTCCTGCTGTAGGTCCGCCTCCATGCATCGGATCAATGTTTCACAGTCAATCTGACAGAAGTGTTTAAAATAGAAATAAAGACGTAAACATTACACAGCGCAGGCGCATAGAATGTTGTGCCATTGCGCATGCGCTCCTGCAGAATACCATGACGTCACCGCCGATCAAAGGCACTGATGACGAAATGTAGGCACGGATGACGCCACGTGTAGCTTTGATCAGGGTTGCCAGAATTACAAGGTAGACTGATTCATCACTTTACAACACGCCTATAACGACACTGAGTTATATATTTGAAGACGGTTTATCAGTTAAATAACTATTATTTATCTCCACTGAAATTAACTGGCAGATAAATTGTCAAAGTATGTCTGAACATAATTTCGGGGATGCTCAGTGTAGCTCAGAGAAAGCAGTGGAATCAGGTCGCCCCTCTATGTCAGAGGACGCGGAAACACTTGATCCACAGAAGCTTCTGCAAAGAGTTCGTGAGCTGGAAGTCAGCTGCAGAACCTACCAAGAGCAAAACTCTATGCTCCAATCAAAGGCGCTGGCGTTTCAGTTGGACTCACAGGATGTGTGGGCTGAGAAAGCCAGGATGGAGGAGTTAGTTACTGAAAACAATGAGATTAAGGAACAGCTCACCTGGGTCTCGAACATCCTCTCCACCGTGGAAAGTGTCAGGGAGAAAACTGACATTTACATACATAAGCTAGAAGAGGAGAAGGCAAGTTTGAGCGAGGAGAATGAAACTATAACCACTGAGTTGGTCCAGCTCAAATCCCTGAGTAAGAAACTAAAGACTGAAAATGAAAATCTAAAGGCAGAAGTGCAGGATCTCCAGGAAACTGAGAAGATCCTGACTGACAACCTCGCCAATGAGCACAACCTAGTAGAATCTCTCAGAAAGAAAAAACAAAAAGCAATTAAACAGCTGAGGGAAGAGGTGGAAAGTCTTCAGGGCAATGGGAAGATTCTGAACAAGCAGAACATGAATCTAATTGCTGACGTGGCCCAACTTGAATGTCTGTATGTGAAAAATCAAGCAGAGATTAAACAATTTAGGGCGATGGTGTACGAACTCGAACAACGCACACAGGCAACTCAGCAAGACCACAGTGTCGAACATGAGCAACTACAGAAGGTGGCCACACTGGAGATGGAGAACAAAAAGCTGTTGTCTGCATTGCAGGATCTGCAGGAGAGTGAGAACTCTCTATACGAGCAGAACAAGACCATCAGTATTGACCTGGCCCTGGCTGAATTTCACATTGACAAGATAGAGACACAGAATGAAAACCTGCAGACAGAAGTTTATGAGCTACAGGAAAATGAAAAGACCATAAAGGAGAAGCACGCAAGTCTGGCTGCAGAGGTGAAGGACTTTGAATCTTGGAGAGAGAAAAAACAAGCCGAGATTGAAAGTCTGAAGGAAGCAGTACACAAACTTCAGCGTCAACTAAAAGAAGCAGAAGACATCAACAAAGAAAATAATGAGGTCATGCAGGACCTGACCCAAGCTGAATCTCTGGTGAAGAAGAAACAGGCAGAGATTAAAAAGCTGGGGGAAGGACTGCATGATCTTACTGAAAAGGAAGATTTTCTGAGTAGGCAAAATGAGAGCATGTCCGATAAGCTCACCCGACTCGAGCTTCTGAAAGACAAGCAGAGCGAGGAGATTACAAACATGAAGACTACTGTGCATGCTCTTCAGCGCCAACTGGATGACGCTTATCTACTGATCTGGAACAAAGACGAGCTAATAACCAAGCAAGAAAGTAAAATTTCTCATAAGCAGGAACAGATAGAGGACCTTTGCAACATCACCACTACCATGAAAGAGTCAATTAAGAATCTTCAAGAGATGCAAGAGTTGAGCCAGATGGAGGAGTTACTAGCTGGTATTGAGAATTTCAGAGAGGAATCCAGGAAGGCTGAAATTACAGAAACACTGGACTTGTCTAAGAGGCGGACAGTGGGCAGCTCAGCTCCTGAGGTTCAAAACAAAAGTTTGTGGCACCGCTGTGCTAAAGGTTTACTGAAAGCGGGTATTCATGTGGGCATAGCCGCTGCAGGTGTGCTTATTCCTGTAGGTATCCTGGCCAGCAAACTGACTGCCGAATGCTCCCAGTTGGACTGTCCATATCACCTGCCAACAGACTACTGTGGCTTCGGAGTTGGAGTCCCATTTTAAACAGTATTTTCTCATCCCTTTAAAAAAATAAAAATAAATATATACATATACATATGTATATATATAGGGTTTTCTCCAGGTGCTCTGGTTTTTCTCCCACAATCCACGTTTCAACACACAGTTACGTTCCTTATCCCTTAAAAACAACATATGTATATATATATATATATATATATATATATATATTCATGATTTATATTTATGAATATTAGGGCAGCACCGTGGTGCAGTGGTTAACACTGTCACCTCACAGAAGGCAGGCCTCTCTGTGTGGAGTTTGTATGTGTCCTTGTGTCTGCATGGGTTTTCTCCAGGGTCTCAGGTTTCCTCCCACAGTCCAGTGACATGCAGGTTAGGTTCACAGTGTGACCTTTCACCCATAATGACCTCCTGCAATAGCCTCATGCTGGGCAAGAGATATAAGGAACGGAAAAAACAACAACAACAACAACAACAAACAAACAAACAAACAAAATACAGCAAATAAAAAATTATAATTTCAAAGTTGAATTGACTGAAATAAAATAGGAATTGAATAAGATAAAGCAGGAACACTTGAGCATCATACTAATTACAAAGATGACAAAAACACACACTGTTGGAGCCATAATGTAGTTTTTTGTTGCATTTTATCCTCATCTAAAGCATTATGTGACTGTGATATGTATACAAATGCAGTTCTGGCATTTAGTGTTATTGAAAGAAGTGTATATAGTTAAGCTGGAGAATTAGGTGTGAATGTGACACAGTTATTTCCCAACTTTCTTTCTTCTTTATTGTACATATATTTAAATACTATCAAATACTAAAGACCCCTGTCCACAGCCAGAGTTTGGTTTGTCTGTTCTGGGCTACTGTAGAAACATGAAATCAGATTGCACTCCCCCACTCCTACAGATATAAACAGTACTGATGCTGGGTGTTAATTTTACACATCAGATCAAATAATATAAAAGGTTAATTCTGTGGTTATTATTGATACTGTTATTATGGATAAAACCACACTAATTTGTGAAATCCTGAATAGTCAGAGAGACAGTTTGTGTCTATAGGTTGGAGCATGCAAATAAAAACAAGATAAAATCAATTATTTATCACTAGGTGGTTATTTTTTTTTAATCATACATCATCCAGTAAAAACTATGTGTATTAGGTACACCTTTAAAACAATAACAGAGTTGTGCAGTAAATCCAACCTTCATTAAGGTTATAAGGTTTTTGCTGAGTTGTTGATTCAATGGTTAATTTTGAGGCTGAAGTTTGTGATACTGTTGATCTGCATTGTGTTACACTGTGTTTGACTTCCAGACTCTTACTCTTACTTTTTAAGTTTTAGTTTTAGTTCCAAAATCAGGAGTCACTTCCTCATTCCAAACACTAGATGGTAGGCACGACCCACTTACAGAAAGACTGGGGGCATTTCTTGTTCAGACCGCCCTCGGCTTCATATTAAGATACAGTATTATATTCAGAAGAATATTTGCATCATAAGTCCATAGATATTTGCTGTTTGCTTATTTAAAATGATTATTTTTATTGTTTTTGATTTATTTTTCTTATTTTTTCTTATTATTATTTACTATTTACTTTTTCTGGTTGAATTTGATTATTTTGTTTGTCTCAAAATGTTATTTTGCTAACGATGTGCGTTGTAAAGACTAATATAGATATTTAAATAACTCAGGTACATCTAACTTTTAGTTCTAATTTCAAAGTAGTGGTCGCATATCTCCTGGCTGTACAATACCTTCACAAAAAAGAGTTTTTTCTGTAATTCAGCTATGATATTTCTGGAAAAAAATAACTTTATTTATTGAAAGTGTCCACTGGGGAACAAGCCCTCAGTTTACTTATATGCAGCTGGAGAACTAGCACCACCCTGAGCAGTTGCACAGCTACAGCCCATCACTAAAACAGACTCTTGGGCCACACACCATCCAGTCTACTGTTTAAATTTACATTCAAACATTAAATTAAATTTTTTTTTTAAAGCTGCATATTTCATTATCTAAAAAACAAAGGGGGTATCACCCTGGAAAATGATTCACCCAACTGGGTATAATAAGCATTGCAGGGAAATGCCCATCAGTGTCAAATGATAAGAGATATGTTGCTTAGCCCAAGAACGACACAGCTTTATGGAACCAGTTATGATTTCTGTCACTCCCTCATAAATGCAGAAATTGTAAATAGCAGTCATGGAAAAGCTGGAGTGTAAACCTGGAACTTGATGGCTCTGTCTTAGGTTTCACCTGCTCCCATTTTACACCACAGCAGTCCAGCTACTCCTGGCTCTCCTCAATGTAACTTGTCAAGCTCATGCATATTTAACTGTTGGGTCCACTGGACTGCTATCAGATGAAGCTAACTAGCTGAAGGGGTGGTGCTGGGGAGATGATGATGATGATGATGATGTGCAAGCGAGGGGTTGGGTTTTGGACAACCGGCTACACCTGCCCCTCCTCACCAGGAATGGATGAGTTATGAGATGGAGAGGAGATCTGAGCGGTCCATTCAGTTCAGCTGCAGACAAAAGGGAGCTCACAATGTCTAGAGACTAAAACCTGGATTCTACACTTTAATTTCCTCTCTTCATCAGTCTTTCCTTAAACTGGATTTTTGGAGATGAAGCAAGTTCCAGTGGCTTTGGTTGCGTCTTGCTTTGGACATTGAGGAATACCATCCCTCCACTTCTTCTCTGAATCCTCGCAACGGAAAAAGGTGGAGAGGAAAAGTCAGTCTTACCTCTGACGGACCTGTGGCACCACTGAAAGGTGGAGCCAAACCCCAGAACCACAAACTCAGGAAGGATGAAGAACTGCTTCTAGTGGATTCTTCTTTCTTTTTTCCCTTTCTCAGACCAACGTGTGCAAGTGAGGTATCAAGACAGTATTTTGAGATAAAAGGGGAAGAGAAAACAAAGAGAGAAAAATGCCTTTTGGTGGGTTAGCAGGTTTGAAGGAACAGGTGCTTAAGCCTGGGAAGGAGGAAGTGAAGAACACAGTGGGGGACTCTCTAGGAAAACTGCAAAGGTGAGAGGGTTTGTATGGAGAGTGGTGGGAAATAGGCATAAGGACTGTGTGTGCAGGGTGTTTGATCCATACTCCATGCTTTTTAGAGGCTAATTTTCCATATATTCACAATGGGGATACATTTTTAAAATAACTTTGTAAGAATGCCTCGGCTAATGGCTGTGACTGTCAGAGAGATGTGTGGAGAGCCTTGAAGCGGGCACATTAAGCCCAACGTGTTCTCAGAGATCCTGACGATAAATAAATATTTGATTCTTGTGCTTGCCAGGCAATGCCAGTGATGTAATCACCGATTTTATTTTAAGACATGAATACATATTTCATATCTGATACATATTTCACAGAGCGGTGTGTGTGTGTGTGTGTGTGTGTGTGTGTGTGGTGCCCCCGTATATATGTAAGATTGTTGTCATTTTAAGAGATAAAGAGCACTAAGTAGGCAATTTCCTGACATTTTTCTGCATGTACTTTTTCAATGTATAAGAATGCGATGACTTATATTATCAACATATGGAAAATGGGAATATTTTTAGTCTTTGCTGTTGATCATTATAGATATAAGAGAAGAAAATAATAAATCCAATTTGGTCAGTTTCTTCGCAAAAAATATATAAATATAAAACACTTAAAGGACATGAAATTATGTTTTTAAGTTGATGCAGTTCACACTTTGAGATACTTTAGCCTATATTTCTTAACTTATTTTATTTTTTGAATAAGAAAAAATAAAAAAATACTTTATTTTCCATACAATACAATACAGTAAAGTTTACATGATACAACAGGACAAACCAGCTGTAACACAATGCAGATTTGAGTGTTTGATATCAAAAACTGATCCAAGTTTATTGTTAATTGCTGTCTTGCTGGGTGATAAGTGCAGTATATTTAAATCTGCTGCAGGTAGCTCATGGGAGACGGGGGGACAGTGACAGAGATGGATTCTGGGTAGTGGAACAGGTGTGGAGAGCGATGCACCTGAAAGCAACCTGATAACAGCAGTTCTGTGACCTTTTTAGTCGTGTGTCTTGGCTTCACCTCCTGCCCTCTGTAAGAGAGCAGAGAGACTTGTGTTACTGTGCTATTTTTGTTGTCACATTTTTATAAAGTTAAACAAAAGTCATGTGAATGTTTCCCAAAACTGCATTATGTTCTATATATGCTTGTATGATTTGCAGCAAAATTTACCCCCCCCCCCCCCC